CCCCAAAACCCCAAAACCCCAGTTGATAAAAACATTAAAGCAATTATATTGTATTTCAATATTTATTATATAATTAATTTTATTACATTAATGAACTACAATAACATAAACTCTGACAAATAGGAAGCGAATTCATTAAACTACAATTCTTTAAATGAGTTCGATAGTCTGAGTAAGGAAGAGCAGGCTTTGAAACTTAAAGAGAAGTTGCTTAGAGATCTAGGCTACGTTTAAGACACAGAAGATCTGACTTAGCAGCATTTAGGTCTAGATCAAGGACCTATGAATATAGGCAGTCCTGATGGATAGGTAAAACCTACTAAAAATACCATGAAGTTTGCCCCTAAATTACCTCAAACTAAAGGCAATTCTACTATTCGTAATAATAATCCAAATCTATCGAGAGCTCATCACTAGGCTCTATCGAAGCAATTATCTTAGACCTAACAGGAAGAAGAGTTGAAAGAAACTCAAAGAATAGTCAAGAAGTATTCTAGCAAAAAGCAAGAGTCAAGTAATGGAGGCGATACTGAAATGAGCAATATGGAGGGCTAACTATAGTAATAACTGACTTCACAAGCAATAGAACATAGGCTAGCAAGAGCTATGAACAGCGTAAGCGATAGTAATATTGAAAATAACAGCTAGCGATTCATTAGCAAATCTGGAGATAATAGTTCATTAATTAATGGCCCTTGTATAGTAAGAGTTAAAAGGAAAAGAGATGCTGATTAGCTCGATCAAATTTGTAAGAAATTATACAGCTAGCTAATATTCATTTCTAGATCTGGAATTCGATTAGAAAGGCACTCTAAAAAGAAGCAAGCTGGTCACTGAGGCTGAAATCATAGAACGTTAGCTTAGTAAATTCAAGTTAGGAAACTAGTATACCACCTCTTAATCAGATAATAAGGATCAATTCTCGCTTGGCAAGCAGAATAAATTTGTTTAGGATAAGGATAATGAGGAATCTTCCATGAAACAAGTTACTTTGAGAAGGCTAAGACTGCCTGGGACAGTTAGTAAAAGAGACAATGAGAACGAAATAAAGGAGTACTGTATGAATATTATGAATATGCGCAGGAATCAACAAAGGCAGTAAATGTTAAACTAAAAGCGAACTACTGAGGATGGTAGAGTTGAAAGCTAAAATAATGATACTATTCAGAATAGGCAGCTCAAGATCTTGTATGTTTCTAAAATCTTCTAACAAAAAATATAGAGATTATAGAGAATTGATAACTGATTCTCAGCATTAAGATGAGGAGAGCAAAGAAATGGACATGCAGGCAACGAGCTAATAGAAAAAGGGTGTTACCGATGAGAATGAAAGTGACTATGATTACTTCCTCGCTGAGGATTTACCTCTAACGGAGTAGGATAAGCCTAAAAGAGTTGAGGATGATAGAAGTGATCAAGATTCTCATGATTCAAACAGGGAAGACCACTCTCAGAATGATTATCCAGATGAACGATCGTCCTATGATGATTCTCAGAATGAGGACAATGACTATGAATAGGAATTGAAGCAGTATAGCTATAAGGTGTAAAATGGTACTAAACCAAGAAAATCTTCAGATATGATTGATGAAGAAGAGGCAGCTAGTAAATACAATTAGAAGCAGTCGAAGCAGCTAAAGAATGGGATATTTGACAAGCTTATGAGAAAGGATAAGAACTGGAGTCATGCGAATAAGATGGCAATCGACATCACTCAAAATGCAACCCTGGAAATGTATGAACCTGAGGTAGTGGACAGTGAAGATAACGATGACGATGTAGATATGTATTGATAAAACACATATCGCAGAGAAGAATGACAATACAAATAAATATGAATGATAATTAAATTGATGCTTATAATCGAAGGATTTTTAATTTCTTAAAATGGTGCTTTATCAAAGAATTTTCATCTAATGGGGTTTTGGGGTTTTGGGGTTTTGGGG